TAAAAAAGGCAAAACTATCCGGGTATCAAAATTATTCAGTATTAAAGGAACAGGAATACTCCACTAACGTCATCTGTGTGCAAAAGTGTACAGTCCTACATGCGATACGGGACGTGTTTGATCGGAAGGGCATTTATTTTGAACACCTCATGTAGTGTGACTTTTCGCTCAGCTCAGTTATAACACTAATGTATTCATAATGGTCTAAACAATAACTGGTGATTAACAATGGGAATAATCACGAGTTTGGATACAGTTTTTAAAACAGGAAATTGTTGTCACCATCCGTAGCCTGCCGCAAGCTCTTCGTTTCCCGCGGTTGCTTAATCAGTTCGCAGAAGGCTCGCTTGGTGGGGCCCTTTACTGCTATATTAATCGCAACATAGCCACCCCTAAACTGTGTGCAACAGTTTACATAACGCTGGCTTTAGCGAGGGACGCACAGATAGTAGGAGTAAACAAGTAACAAGACACAAAACAGGCTACCTAAATGGCCACCCCATGGATAGGTACAGGGGGTACACTAACTTCATGGGAACAAGCACCAGATGCTTAAGGTACACGAGGCTCAGGCAAAGTGGCGGCTTCAGGGTTGCCGTCCGTCTCTGCGGGCAGCCCAATGCCACTGGTCTGGTGTAAGTACAATCTGCACTCTTACAGTGCGAACCCGTTTGTCGTCACCTGGTAGCACCTCAGTATAAACCAGATGCCAGAGGCCAAGAGGCACGTCGTTGCTGAGAAACAACCATCAGGACAACGTCACCAACAAACAAGTTGTCAGTCTCACTGCACCACTTCTGGCGGGCCTGCATGACTCACAGGTAAGACTGGACCAACTTCTTTCCAAAATCTCTGCATCAAAGTCTGGCACTGGCGCCAACGGCGGCGACTGAGGATGTTACGATCTGGGTAGACAACCTGTATCCAGGTTAATGTCATCGATCCTGTTAATTGCCAGATACTGTGTGATTAGTTATGATTGCTTAACTTCAATTATGAACAAAATTGTTGTTGATTTATACTTATAATTTCCAACTGTTTAAAGTCAATTTTTGCATATTTGTTTTGGACAGATTAAACCGTGCTCTTTGTGCTGTTAATGTTCGCCTGATCATAACAAGCTTGTCAAGTGGATATATTTGTTAACCGTCACACCCGTCATAGATAGTAACAGTAGCGAATCGACTGTCCTTGTGCTCCACGTCACTATCAGGTTGCGTGGGCGCTGGAAATCTAGGCCAATCCTCTTCAGGACCAGAGAGGAAAGGCAGAGCAAACCACCGACTCTCCGTAGTCAGCTCGCTCGCTCAAAATGGTTGTAGCGGCAAGATTTGATTACCTCTTTTCAGAGGTAATCAAGCTGAAAACTGGTGTGCTGTGGCTCTTACAAGTGATGGATAAGTTCAACTCGTCCTCGAGGAGTTCTGCCAACTCTGCGCCACAGAAAGCAGCTTGAAGTTCCAGCCGAGGAATGGTTTGCACACGTTTGGGTGCCAAACGAGATCGTGCCATAACAAACCTGACACCTACGTCGCCGGGCCGAGCAGTGGCCCGGAAACACGCAACGGCCCCATAGGTCTTCTCCAAAGCGTCGGTAAAGACATGTAGTTGGTATGACACATTCATAGGATCAAAGTGCCGTGGGAGGTAGCACCGAGGCAAGTGCACAAGAGAAAGGTCGGCAATTTCGTTCCACATATGAGGATATGTTGGGAATAGAGACCATCTTCGCCCTTATCGGGAATCTCTTTCCAAACCCCAAGGTCTTTTCCAAAGCTCCTGGGCAAGCATTTTTCCCCTCACCATGTATGATATGAGATAACCTCTCCTCTGCAGTGGGGACAAGTCTTCCGGAAGGGTTCCTTGCCACCACTTCGGGTAGCCTTATTGACAAATAAGCCTTTTGGTGAATAGCTGGTGGCCTTTCCGGTCGATTTGGTGTGGTAGGCTGCCGCCCCTTTTCTGCGGCGGTCCCGGTTGGTTGAGGGAGGTTCAGCTCTGATACTCTCGTTGGGCTGCACCTTCTTTCTGGCAATGGCCGCCGTATCCTGCAGCCATGTGTCAATGTCAAACAGAGAGAAGTTGTTGACATTTTTGGCCTTCATTGCCTTCAAAAATGCCGTCTGGTGGGTGTGAGTGTGGCGACCGTAAAGGATGCAAGCTGTGGAATTGGCGCTCAGCGCAGCTTGGCCTCTGGTGCACCCTTGAGTTGAGTGACCAGTGCCGACACCGCTGCCGCAAACTAGACCATTCCCTTGCTGTCGCTGGCCGCCAGTCGCGGCCACGCGGTAATCTAATAAATCTTGGCACGTATCGAAACACCAATGTCGCCATAAAACTTCTTCAGGGTACTCATGGCCTTAGTGAAGGGTTTCATGTCATACCCCAGACCCAAGATGTCTTTCCTCGGTTGTCCATTCAGCTTAGACCTGACAATTAAATACTTCTGTTGCTCGGTGAATTGGACCAAGGGCTTGATGCAGCCGTCGACCATTGCTTCAAAACAGCGAAACTCCGATGAGACGCCTCCACCGAAGCTGGGAACTTCCATATTTATCCCTCCAGCAGATGCAGCCAACATCGAGCTCAGCATCATTTGGTTAGAGGTCACGGACGATGCCATGGGTTGACCTAAGGGGCCTCCCAACGCTGCAGGTTTGCATGGCGGGGAGTGGTCAGAGGCACCTGAGGACTGGACCTGTTCCCTAAAGGATTGAAAGTGGAAGTTTTGGAAAGATCGCAGAGGGAAACCTGAGTAGGAGTCAGGTTTTGCCCAGAAGCAATGTGGGTAGCACCACGGAATGGAAAATGAGCACCAGCTTGTAAAGGAACTAAACTTGGCTGGAAAACACTTGAGTTGTACCCGGAGGGTAAACTGCCTTGGGCAGTATGGCACTGAGCTGAGGGCTCAGACAATGCGACAGACTGGGTGTGGTTCCAGGTTACGAGTGCAGGACTCGAGGTTGAGAGCGTGTGGCCCACGAGCGGGCAAGTTTGACTTATGGTAGGTTGCGAGTGTCTCCTGTTGGGTTGGGCAGGACACATGACGAGCGTCGCGTGGACCATGATTAGCTGCAAGATGCTCGCGAGTGGTTGCGCGTGGCTCGTGGCTGGTTTTTCGTGGCTCGCGCCTGGTTCCGGTTGCGCGTGCGCTTAATTGTACCGGCCTCGCAGCTGAAACGGGGTTTACCGTGAGCAACGACGCTGGATTTTCAGCGGCCGATATTTCTGGAATGCTGGCGGGGGAAAACACCTAAAGAATGGGTCGCAACCCCTGGTAAAACATCTGACTGTGGATAAACATACAAACTTGGTACGTTACTAATGCTAGATTGAACGAGTTCTGATTCAACCTAAGCCAGGTTGAAATTGAGCTCTGTGCGGAAATGCCTCTTTATCTCCATTTGCCTGGTGAGCTGTTCCTTTTGCTTTAGGATCAGGCGCTTCTCATACTCAGCAGCCAGCCGTGCCCGGGCCAATTCTATTTCCGCCTCCTCTTGTTTCTTGTCTCTGTAGTTCCAGGTGTTTTTTTGTGGAGGGCCACTGTTCTTGTGCTTGCTGGGCAGCTTGCAGTCGTTCGTCGAACTCCTTACTCTGGGCCATTTGGTCTCATTCTCACTCAAGTCGCAACTTGGCTACTTCGTACTCTTGTTCCTTCTCCACAGCTCGGAGCTTGGAGCCAGCGGATGAGGTGGTACTCCGACTTCGTTGCGACAGGCGGTTGAATGAGTTAGGGTACTTTGAAGGGGGAAGGCTTACTTCTGGCTCGCCCTCGTGTGGTTTTTCTGTCCCCTCCGGCTGTTCTTTCATGGCCAGAGAACTCGTTTCTCTACGTTATTGTCCATGCTGCAACCGGTTTTGTGCCCATTTGTGCTCAAACTTTATTTCCTATCGCGTCTGGGTCACCATGAAAAAAGGAGAAATGAGAACGCAGGGAGTCCTTGGCCAGAGAACTCGTTTCTCTACGTTATTGTCCATGCTGCAACCGGTTTTGTGCCCATTTGTGCTCAAACTTTATTTCCTATCGCGTCTGGGTCACCATGAAAAAAGGAGAAATGAGAACGCAGGGAGTCCTTCGGTGTGTGTGTTCAGTGAGCAAGGACACCACAGGCAGGTTTATTGGCATAAATTTATTCAAATGATGATGTTCATGGAAATTGGTGGAAATTAAATATAACAGGGCTGGTGGAGAGAATACTGATCGGTCAGGATGTAGTGATCGGTGATCAATGGAAGATCTCTGACCATTAGAGATAATAGTTCTGGAAAATATAAGCGCATTGATGATCATTAACAAAGGCAAAATTATCCGGTTATCGAAATCATTCAGTATTAAAGGAACAGGAATACTCCACTGACATCATCTGTGTGCAAAAGTGTACAGTCCTACATGCGATACAGGACGTGTTTGATCGGAAAGACATCTATTTCGACACCTCGTGTGGCGTGACTTTTTTGCTCTGCTCAAACACAGAAAGTTGTAACACTAATGTATCATTATGGTCTGTACAATAACTGGTGATTAACAATGGGAATTAATCACGGGTTTAACAACTAGGAGTAATTATGGACATAGGTTTATAAAACAGGAAATTGTTGCTCACCATCTGTAGCCAGCCCCACGCTCTTCGTTTCCCGCGGTTGCTTAATCCGGCAGTTCGCGCCAGGCTCGCCTGGTGGCGCCCTTAACTGCTATATAAATCGGAACACTTACAATCTGCAGAATTTTAAGGTGCACTTTTGAGTTCAGTGCACCAGATCATGAGGCCATAGTACTCAACATTTTGACAGTAGTCTGTGGTTGATACATATACATGCACATTTGTGAATGGTTCAATGCCTATTTCCATACCAGCCTTTGAAAGTTAAACTAATGCAGGCAACAGATATTTGTGTAAAGCACTGCTTGATCATCGCATTATATCATACACGCACATTTTCTACAACATATCAGACATTAAGTTGATTAACTTTTAAAAGGACACAGCTTTCTACACATCTTTCAATCCCATTTTTTTCTTTTTATTTTCATATCCCAAAACATGGAGTTAGTTTAAACCACCAAAACCATTTCATTAAACTTTACATTTGATTTTTTTTACAAACATCTGTGGTCTAAGCCCGTGCCTTAACTAGAAGAACCAGATACATGTAGGAACACACAGGTAAACCTCAAACCACAAGATAAATGAACTGAATCAAAAACATTATTACTGATTTCCCTGATTCACACATTATGCCTTACCACAATTTTGATAGAGTATTACACTACATTTAGTATTAGACTTTAACGATGCTTTCCACACAGCATAGCTTTCCAAAAAGCTGCCAGTGTTAAAAATGCCCTTTGTTGTGCAGTCCTTTCTACTCACAATGATACGACTTTAAAACAGAGACATTAAGTTTTATCTGGGATCACAACGAAATCAGATCAGCTCTACGGTAAAAATGTTGACGGAAATTTTCTTATAACTCATACGACCAAAACACTTGTGAAATCTGTGATAAAAGAACAAAAATACAAAAATATATAGGTATATCTATGTATGTTAAAAATACCACTGTTTAGTTACTACATTTGTAACTCTTTACAAAAGTTTGATAAACATCAAAAAGGTTTACTCAAACGTTGTTTTCTTATATTTTCTTTGACATCTCATTGTCAGGCACCTCAGTTTTCCAACATTTAGTAGTGATAATAAGCCATAAAATTAAGCATGCACAAAGCCAAGCGTCCAATTACAACTCGCTTGGGAAACTGGAACTCCTCAGTTTCAACCTCATCTAGATTGCCGTAGATATTGTAAAACATACTTTACTTAAAACTTAGAGGTTCAATGGGTCCATAAACCCACTAGGCCATGAAACGCACCCGATTTTTCTGTCATCTTGCGGCACCCACTTCGGAACTAGATGAAAATTCACATGTGCGTAGTTTGAACTGTGGAAAAATTCACTTATTGTTGTTGTCATTGTGACAAAAGGGGAGAAATCTGGCGTTAAATTTGTCGAATTTTGTTCACAACTCAATGCATTTCCCTTCCCCACTGGGGGAGGGCAACAGGTACATAACATACCGAATATGCACTGAACAAATCGTCAGAAATGTAATCAAATCACAAGTAGACAATTTGATGTAATCTGTTAAAGACTTTTTCGGTTAGCTAAAACAGCTTTGTTCAGAATTTAGTGTTTTGACTTTTTCGTATTTCCCAATTTTAATTTTGTACCCAAAACCTCCTACATAAGACTTTCCAACACAAAAGGGCACATATTAAAGTCTGGTTCCCAGACTCATCATGCTCCCTCTTTTCCTAAATTTCTATCCGCCACTCAAACCAGACTAGAGATCCGAAGAGCAATAGCATTGTTGTTTATATTGTTGTTGCTGTTGTTTATATTGCTGCATTGCTGTTGTGGCTGTGCATTGATTGCCAAAATGGAGCGTGTCAGAGGAAGAAAAATCCGAATTAGTGTTCCTGAATGTGAAAAGAAATGTTAAAATCCTGTAAATGTCCGAGAAGTGGTGGAAAGTTTCAGATTCTGACAGTAATGAGCGCCGACAAGTGTAGTCAGTATCTAAATCAGTGTCGGGAGATTTGGTTTTCACTGAAAATGCAGGTTTACTCAACACCACGAAATCCATAGGAAAAGTGTGAGCAAGAGGTACAACTAGGGAATGCAGATGTCACAGAGAGCAAGGAAAAGGTATGTATGGATGTCTGGATGTCTTTCAAAGCTCAACTCCAGAATGATTTTGCTGTAAAATTTAACAATTTAGCCTACCACGCCTACCAATATGCCAAGTACCATCCCAACTCGTTACTGTCACGTAAGTTATTCTTATCGGATTTGCCTCTGACATGTTGTTGTCCCACCATATCCACTCATGTGCGTCAATATTGCCAATATACTGTTTTAACAAATCTTGCCCAGATTTAATTTGAATTTCCTGTGTTTATCTTTTTGTTTTTTGTCAAATTTCTGCCCAGATCATCCGATGAATGACCTTCATCTGATACCATCCCATCCTGATCCAGTCATGTCTTGCTTCCACTCCGTATCATGTTTGGCAAGAAAGAATGCTGAATATGGAAAGGCAAGAAAAAGTCAAGGACAGGATCCGTTCATGTGCACTGAGTTAAGTGATCGAGGTTTATTGCGTACATATATGTAGTTCATAATCTAACCCATCGTCGATATTATGTAAAAAAGGGGGAATCATAATGCAGAATTCTTTCCAAAGTGTGCAGATTTAGACAAATTGAGATTTACTACCCTCATGATATTTGAACTTAAAAAAGTCAACGGCTTATAACAGACAAAGGAAAACGTGGTTTCGAATTCACATGTTTATTTCATTTATATAATTTCATGTTTTGATCCCGGCAGGATCTTTCTCAAGGGCAAAAGTTATACATGTACACGCACTCTGTAAGTGACAAAATGTGCAGCATGACCCCCCAGAGCACGGCTGGCTAGAAAGCAGCCAGTAGGCACAATCATGGCCAAGTGTAAGGTCCCAAAATGACACAGGTTTCAGGTCGGGAGTTGGCTCTGAAACTGGTGCGGCGACTTGATTTTTTCATTTATTTTTTCTTGAACATGGTGCTCAGGTGCTGAGCATGTATGCCTTAGAAAGAGCCACATGTTTGCTTTGAGGTTGATCTTGCTAGGCCTATATAATCGTAAATTCACGCCGGCCTTTTATATTTGGCCCTGTGTCGATTCGCTGTAGTCTGGTTCCGAGACAAGAAGATCTCCGACGACACATACTAAAATCGAAGGGGAACAGTCAGACCCATCAGGTTTGGTAACCAGAATTACATCTTTACCGCACTGTAGTTAGGCAGGCAAAGTACGCTATGGTGCCTGAAAAATGTGCACCTTTACATGCAGAAAACGGCAGATTTTAAAGTCAGAATTCATCATTTTGTAACCTTCTGTTGGAATAACAACATTCACCACTTGATTACACTTGCTTCAAACTATACGTTAGTTTCTTTTTATGTAGTTCTGAGTCGGGTGCCATGAAGACCATTGTAACACAGGCTTTTCTTTAGGTATATTCAGGCAGCGCATTTTTGGCCCACCAGTGAGATTTGTGTGTAGGGCAGTAGTTATTGCTACACCGACATTGTTTCAGTCGGATATCTGGTTACATGTACATATAATTACTGTATGATGTGATAGGACTCAGATAACAAAGATTTGGGGACCATACTTACGCATGTATTGTTGGCGGGCAATCTCACGTTGGAGAAAGCTACTGAAGTTACAAAGTTTGAAGATTTATTGGATGAATAGATATTGGAAAACCCTGTTTTGACGCATTTCTGCCAGTTCTGCAAGTACATTGTGTTTGTAAGCCTGTGCTCAGCAAAGTCGTAAGTTTTGGCTGCATAGATGTACATTTCGGTTTTCTATCTATTGCAAACTACATGTACTTAGGTTGATACATGTATGTCCTCCAATAGTACTATGTAACTACGTGTTTTTAATGTACATGTACATATATTGTGATTTATCTTATTAGAGCCTGATCAATTACCACCTTTTCATGTGACGTGTAATTTCCCGACCACATGATACCACATGTTTTGCTTTGATTCGGTTAATTCCAGATTAAACCTAGTTACATTCCACAAGGTGACAGTGTGGGAAGTGTCAGTGAACCAGCCTCAGTGAAAGTGTAGGTTGATCCTGGGAGACGGGACAGCAGAAAGCGTTACAACATTTTCTGAACAGAATTTTGGGGTGCATTTCATAGCCTATAAAAATGTCACGTAACATTGTCTTCCCAATGACAAGTTTATACAGAATCCTTGTACGGTTTGTGGTAATTTGTCATTGGAATTTTAGGAGTCACTGCCTTTTAGGCAACCTGGATTGATCGTCAGAAAACCCTGACTAGACGGCGTTCAGATTTATTGAATCGAGTTCTAGTCTAAAACTTGTCATCCTTATTCTTTTTATAAATCACCATTTACATGTCGAAGCCATACAATAAAACAGGCTTCGCCTGTCACACCATTCATTTTTGCATTAAAGCACCATTTTTTTCTCAGAATGTGCTCAACAGAATCCAACCAAACAGTTTTAAAATATAACAAACCCATACAAGACTTTTTGTCTTGTAGTGTCCAATTCTAAGCACGTGAGCAAAGTGTAATATATAATATTACCAAATGGTCATTAGTGAATCAATGTTTCAAAATTCACATACCACTTAAAGGCTTTGTAAATTCAAAAATATGGAAGAACAAATGATTCGGGGTTCTTTTTTCATACATTTTATATGTTTTATAAGTTCCTTCCCTAGTCGTAAAGGTTCAGTTTTCCTTGCAATTAAATACCTCGAGAGCCCTTTTCTGAAATATGTTGAATGGGCCTACAAGTGTCAATACTCCACAGATTTGCAAAATAAGTAGTTTGTAATATAGCGAGATGCCTGTGAACAAGTTCGCACATGCAGTGTTTTTGTCTGGGGGACAGCATGCAACCCCACAGCAGAAGTCTAACAATGGGCCCCCTCAGGTATCCCTCAGAAATTTCACCCCAGTTACACTACTGGTCAGAAGTAAAAACCACTCCACTCTTCTTAAACAGCCATATACTAAGTTTCAGGAACTCTCATCGCACCTTACTTGACCACATACTTGTTTACTTGTACAGTGAACCATTTGACATTAGAACTGTTACGTTAAGGGCATCAACTTTTCAGCTTATGATTGAAAACTGTATTAGCCATTAGTTAATCTTACCATCTTCACATACCAAATGCTTACAAATGCAACTACAAAATTTTGCACGTAAGATTAAAAATACACAACATGATTTCCTGCTAAACCTTTCACAAACTTCAGGAACTTGGATGTGAAACTGGGCAAGTGAGAGACATCAGTCGCAAGTGCAAAGCCAAGCCTAGTTCCTGTAGTAGATGCCTTGCTGGTGTGTGCGAAACATTAATGTTTCCTTGCCAAATTATGAGCCTTATCTTAAAAATTTTCATCCCAGCCAGACAGTTCATCAGGAGGAATCTCTAGATCCTTGCTGTAAGAGTCAAAATTACTTGCATCCTCTGGGCCACGAACCTGTCACAGAGAAAAAAATTATTGGTGTTCATTTTCTTTTTCCAACTACATGACTGTATTAACTATTCCCCACTCTACAAGAACTTGTACATGCATTTGTGCACTTGTTGTATGTGAGAGCAAAATATGATTTTTCTTTAAAATGTACTATTGGGGACACCAGTCATTTGCATGGAGTTTGGAATATGGTGCTGCTTTTTGGGGGGAGAGGGGGTTGCCCCAGGGAGTCTAAGCAAGGCACGGTTTCTCCTAAAGAGACTTTCAGAACCTCCAAAGCAATTTTGCCATCAATAAGAAACTCTGACAGAAAACAATTAATGCCTCCCCTTGTCTCCTCCCTCAAGGATACTGGTAACGATTAGATCAGAGCTAAAAAGTTATATTGCCTTTAACAAGTATGTCATATTGGTATCAACTGAAAATTGATGAATATACCTTATTTCAAAACATCCCCATTCCTGTCAAAAGGATTTTGAAATAATTAACTTTAGGAAAATGTCCTGACTTGGTTATGAATATTGCTGAGTTTTGAAATATTGTACACATATCAAGTGTACAATCCTAGTTTGGTTGATAAGGGGGAAAAGCAGGTCTGCTTCCCATTTCCCGACCAACCCTAACTATGTGGCAAAACCCTAAAATCATTAAAGTTAGGAAAACAATTTCTGTCATTTATGTTTTCACAAAACATCTCTGAACCTCCTTCTTTCTTGTCAAATCACTTGTTTCCCCACTTGCGACTTTTGAAAAGAAACTTCTTAGTTTTACAAGTTCCTTCACGTTTCGCTGTTGCGGTGGTGGAAACACATGCGCAATAATTCTCAATGGATTGAAGCAATGCTCCACTGCACTGGAGCACGATGGATACATGGCAACTAGTCTATGCATCCTGGTCAAAATAGCGTTGTTACAATGTGATGTTCATGCACGCAACTTTACAGCCGCATGCCGAAATAAACAATGTGGCAAGAAGATTTATTATTACTATTATTATTTATTCGGCCATTCAGAACAAATACTGGTAGGATAATATTCAACATACATAAAAATCAATGGACTAAACAAAAGGACATTCCAAATAGCAAGAACAATGCACTCCAAGCTGGCCAGGATTGACAAAAGTATACTTTAACACTCTGACCCGAAAGCTTATCAATCCAAACTTGAAGTTGAACACTTAGTTGAAGTTTAAAATAATATAAAAGGATATTGATAAACTATACAATTGCAATAAATAAATAAATAAATCAGAGTAGGCATGAGATAGTAAACCTCACTATTAAACCGCAATAAACGAATTGAATCCTGCAACTAATGTGCTGGAAAAAGAAACTAATGCATGCAAAATTACCTCCCCCCCACCACCACCATCACCGCCACATCTGAATAAAAAATGTATTGTACGCGAATGAAGCAGCAAATTACGTTTAAGAAAGTGTCAAAAACTGCCTTTATAACAAGGCTGTACCAATGGAGCAAGAACTACACCAGGTGGAAATAGAGAATACAAGTACGTCACATTTTACCATTCTTTAAAATGAGCCAAAAATGGGTATTGAATTGTCCAAAGAATCTATTAATAGAGAGTCCTTCACATGCATTGGTAGATTGCTCCAGATACTGGTTTCCGGTATCTGGATATATGCATTACCTTGGTTTTTGTTGGATTCAACTGCATGCCATTGAGTACACTCTATTGTTCAAGTTTACTTAAATTCGACTGAAGGGAGATTTCATCTTGCTGTGAGCATATTGGCTGGTACAGGAGGGTGTCATCAGCAAACAATAGAGGGATCCCAATACGACGGTTTTAGCGTCGATCTGCGCATTTCCGCGTTTGAAAACGAGGCTGTATGTGTTAGATTCAATTCTTAATACGATCAGACGATGGAAAGTAAGGAGTCAAGACACAAAATACATAAAGGTATGTTAAATTAAGACTGTCCAGGCTTCAACTTTTTGTGGAAGAGTCTTTTAGGATGACTTAACACGTAAAATCAAAAGAAAAAATAACGGCAATTTACCGCGAACTAACTTATCTGCAATGGTCATGCATCTTGGGCAGTGGGCGTGGTTTAAACTGAAGTGGTGCCACACTTACAAACTGGATACTGCATGTACTGTGTCGACTCCGCGGGAGCACGTGACGAAGTTCAATGCAGAGAGCCTCGGTTTCGATGCAGATATGCGCAGACAGCACTAATGTGAAATCCCTCTATACACAGTTGGTAGACAGATTGTATGAATGCCATTTATGGATAAATTGAACTAGAGGGGGCCAACAACACTTGCTTGAGGAAGTAACAGGTGCCCAGTCAGAGAAGCATCCCCGGTAGGCGACACGTTGCGTCAAGAAGGATTTTATCTAGGCGTGCCCAGTCAGAGAAGCATCCCCGGTAGGCGACACGTTGCATCAAGAAGGATTCTATCTAGGCCCATGTTATTCGCCAAATGATGAAAGTGTTGGCAATTTTAGCGAGTATAGGATGTGGTGCGGCATGACATCAAATGCTTTACTGAAATCCAGGAAAATCTTATCAATTCAAGGAAGTCGTGGAGTATCCAAAACATCCGCCCATTGCAGATCGTGTTTGTGCCACATGATTTTCCAGCACTGAATCCATGTTGATGTGGGTTATTGAGGCACAACGATGTTATGTGGTTGTTGATGTTTTCGGCAACAGCGCGTTCCAGCACTTCGCAAAGAACTGACTTAATGCCACTGTGCAGTAATTCTTGATGTCGGTACGACTGCCAGATTTATATTCTGGAGTTATCTGCGAATGTTTCCAATCTGAAAAGACAATGCCACTAGATAATGAAGAGTTCATTAATCGCAAGAGTGGTAAAGCAATTAATGATGCAGCCACTTTCAACACTTTTGGTGGTATAGCATCATGACTTTGGGCTTTGTGAGGATTCAAGTTCGAGAGTGATTTCACCAGCCACTCAAGTTTTACGACAGTTGGGGGATTTCCGGTATTGAGAGATCACAAGTTGGTGGTGTCTCTGGAACAGTTTCAGCTAAAATGTGAACAGAGGTGAAATATTCATGGAAAGCTTTGCAAATATCACTGGGCTCGTGAAGCTCTACCTCAGCTGTTTTGAATGCGGGTGGGCATTTGGATTTCCTTTGGTCTTTGACAAAGCTCCAAAAGCTAAGTTTGTTGTCTACTACTCACACAAGTAAATGGTGCGGGGCCCAACGGCTCCTCACACAAGTCAACAGGGCAGGGCCATCAGCGCGGCCTGGCCTGCATGTCAAAGGTGTACAACTACAAGGTACTGAAGTTATTGGGGCTGTACCACATCTGTTGGCCCGCACCTGTGCTGGGAGGCGGAGCCAGTAATCGTGCAACAAGTTGCCCCAGAAGCTAACTTTCCAGAGACAAAGGGGCGGAGACCAATGATGCTTCCAGATACTTTGACAGGAGCACTTCATTGTCTGACTACCTAATCCATTTTGAGAGCATCACGGCGATCAACCATTGGAGTGATGCCGAGAAAGTGATGTTCCTGGCATCTCATCAAAAGTGTACAGCCCAAGAAGCTCTGGCCGATATGACGCCGAGGGTACGAAAAGACTATTCTTCTATCCTTGAGAACTTCGAGCAGCAATTTGGGGTGGCAGCACAGGTCCCCCTATATCAGGCTCAACTGTCTATACGTACCAGAGGCCGCGATGAGCCCTTAAGTAGTCTGGGGCAATCCATCCGACGTCCAGTCTCCAAGAGCTATCCAAAACTAATGGCTCAGGCTCGCGAGGATTTGGTGGTGGACACATTTTTGTCAATGAGAGTGACCACGCTGACCAAAGCTATCACCGTTGCAACTGAGATCGAGGCATTCCTCGAGTCTGAGGCGCATAAACAGAAGGGAAAAACCAGGGACATCAGGACAGTGGCCCAGCCCGCTCCAGTTCCAGACGAAAGACCCGGGCCACCCGCTGGGGATGGAATTGTATTAGGTCCCCGGACAAGGGTGGAATGCTTTGGCTGTCATGAGCTAGGCCAAATCCAGCGAAACTGTCCCTATCAGAGGTGGGGACCGACTTCTGACCGTAAAGGGAACAGAGAGAAGCGGCCACTTAACGTCGCCCCCAGCTGGGGAGCCTGCCGCTCTTCCAAAACGAGCTCCAGTAGGAACAGCTAGAGGGACCTAGGTGACGGTAAAGTGGCCGGGAGGTGGGACTTCCACTGGATCTGGTGGTGGGCAGTCAGAGGAGCCAGCAGAAGTGGCTGTACACGACTACGTCGATGGGCTGCGGGCAAGAATCGAGGGCGCCCATAAGTTCGCCCGTCGCCACCTACAGAAGAGTCAAATGTATCAGAAGCGGCAGTACGACTGCAAGGCAGCAGGGGCCGGGTATGAGCCCAGGCAGCCGGTATGGTTGTACATCCCTGGATGTACATCCCTGCCCAAAAGGTAGGCCGCTCGCCCAAGCTCCAATGCTGGTGGAAAGGTCCCTTCAAGGTAACGAAGAAGATCGATGATGTCACATATAAGGTACAGAAGTCCCCTCAGTCCCAAGCCAAAGTGGTCCACTACAACAGACTGAAACCGTACTTTGGTGACGTGGAAGCGGGATGGTGGGAGCAAGTGGCGCGGCAGTCTCAGCCAGAAAAGGACCACGACGCTGACGGACGCCGACTGTGGTGGACGCGAGTTACCCTGGGCGGCTTCTGACGACCTACTAGGGGCAACAGTATGGGCCTCGCTGATTCTGGGAGGAACTGCTCCGACGCACAGAGGTGCAGAGGCAGCCACCACCTCATCATTAAGCCCAAACCACGTCACGGGACCCCGGAGTTCTCCCAGACTAGTCGCTGATGCTGGCCGCCTTGTTTGGGATACTGAGTTCAAGTTACTCAGACCAGAATTGACAATGATTATGTGCATGTACGTCCTAACTGTTCAGCACAATTGGGAGATCTACTTGACGATATTCATTGTGCTCTTTCCTAAGTTCCTTATTTAATGATTTTAGTATGATGAATTTTTTTCAAAGGCAAATCAAATCAGAAAGGAGTACAATAAATTTTCAAAAGAATTACGATTGCGCTGAACAAAGACTAAACTCCCTAAAACGCTCACCGTGCATACTGTATTTCATATCTTTGCCCCCCACAAGACAAACCATGTCTTTACGAGTTCACGGTGAATGTCCAAGAATGTATGAAAATTGAATGTATACCTGCAGTTATTTACACATCGATGTAAGCTGATTATTTATACGGAATATCTTAATTTCCTTATGTACTTTTTGTCTATAGGTATCCTTCATGCTACCGTACAGCTGGAGTGAAAGCTAGAGATAAATCTGTTCCCCATGTTTCTTCCGAGCATTGGAACTCAACATAACTGCAGTACATGTAGATATCAGAAGCACGGGTACCCACGAAGAAAGCTGCTGTATTTATAGCCAAGCAAGGAAATTTACAGGTAATGGTGAAAAAGCCTACTGTTGCATTGACATGCAGGTTGCCAGTTCTAATTAACGCAGTAATGAAGCAAACATATCCATATACCGTCATCATAAATGGTTCCCTCATCTTGCCCTGTCCTCTACTTTTAATATTCAGGTCCCCACGTACTGCCCATTTGGTGAGGACTAAAGTTTTGCTACATGTATGCCACTACATGTCTATACATGTACACACGTATGCTGTATATGTGTCCAAGTTCAGTTTTCCATGCATCAACACATGAACTTGTGCACCTGCAATGAATGTTTTCCTTTTGCGATTATACAGATATTAATCAGCACACGAGAGCAATATCCGTTCATGTTGGATGTCCCTGGTTTCGTTGATGGAAATGCAGTCGAAGCAGGACTGATCCACAGAGCAGTGAGAAGAGCTTCATCAAAGTACTTGTAACAAAATTATCTGAATAAAACTGCAATTGAAAGCAAGTCGATTTACTTGTAGGAGATTTACTTGTATGTGTACATGTAACTGTTATATACATTGAAAGACAAATGCAAAATTTTTTTGGAAAAAGAGTGCAAAGTTTTCAGCATTCATTAAATTCCAATATTTCCAATGGATCCCCGTGCCTGGAAATATTCAGGACAAAAAGAAGTCGGTGGTTTTTATATGATACACTTTAAAAATGCGCTAATAAACAATGGCAGTTTTTCCTTCATATTTTCAAAACGTTTCCTTCATATTTTCAAAACAATGTGCAAATTCATTTTTTTCCAAATAAAAAAAACACATTATTACTAGTTTACAGTGTTTAATTAACTGTTTATGTAATCTGATTATCTCAAATATTTCAATTCTTTTGCTTTGTGTGTATAGGTATCATTCATGCTGCTGCTGAAGTAAAAGGAGATAAATCTGTTCACCGTGATGTCAGTTTCAAGGACTCGAATGAAATGTAACTGCGGTTTCATGTACATATCAGAGGAACGGCTACTCAACATGAAGGAAGCTGTTGGACAATCAAGCAGGGAAAATAACACGTTAAGTAGTGGTAAGAAGGCCTGCTGTTTGCCACACAAGAGATGGCCGGTTCTGATTAATGCAGTTATGAACAATGATGGGAGGGGTACCCATGCATGTATTAAGTTAATGCAAATCGCTTACTGCTTACCGTCCATATATCTGGTCTGCCTCTGTACCGTAAAATTCCTACTCGTATATCAAAAGTGCTGAAAGTTCTGGCTCCTTTTCTCCATGTATCAACAAATAAACCAATGCACAATGAATTAATATTTTCCTTTTTTTAGATGACACAGAAGAATCTTCACCAGCACATACATGCAGGAAGTCTTCAGACATGTTGGTGTCCCAGGTGTCGTCGATTGAAATTCATTTCGTACCAAGACATTTCTACAGAAGGACTTCATCAAATTCTCAAGATTATCTAAAAAAAACTGCAACCAACAGGACATGAGATATAAATGTATATGTGTACATGTCCCGACTTTTTTTCAAGATTACGGGAGAAATTGTGAATACGAGTTCCGGAAGCATTATGCAAAGTTTTAAGCATTCACAAGATCCTGATACTTTCAATGTGTTCCCATGTTTTCTTAAGTACATGTATGTCTGGAAATCTTCATGACAAAAGAATTTAATTAGTTTTATGTAATACACAAGAGTAAAATGTCCTAAAGTACAAATGCATTTTTCCCTTAATATTTCAGAAATAGCGGTAGTAAGGACACTTGAGCATTCAACTTTGGTAACCCTTCAACCTCTGGACAACTTTCAATTTTTAAAATTTTGAATACATTTCAATACACTTAAATTCCACATTCAGAGTTTGTGCTGCTGCGCACTCGCAGATGATACAGTTGTTAAAAAGTAGTCATTTGTCCATTTCAACAGGCAATAAGGAATTATACTTTGAAAGAATTATGTAAAATTAATGTTAGCAGTACTTTTCTTCCTATCTTTGGAGCCGACGTTTCTTACTTTGTGTGTGCCTATAGCCCTTACAGTCCACAATCCTCTTGAGTTTCATAAGATTTTACATTCACCCTAGACGGACAGGGTTGATCAAATGCATTCACCGTACTGCAGCAGATCCTCGTTTGGGCAATCAAATACTTTCCAATAAAACTGAACTGTGCCCTCACTCGATGAAATTCAACATTTTGTGGTACCTGATTGATAATTTCCGTACGTTCGACAGGGATGAAGCAACAATACAAATACCGGTGGTCAATTAATTATTCGAGCTTAAGGTATATGGAGTAAATTGCATTTGCATATTTGAAAAAACTATTCAAAAAATTAGGGGTGTGCATTTTCGGGTATTTATGAAACCGGGTACCCTTTTTTGTTAACATCGGGTACCCCGAAAAGAGATCACTTAATAACAACTGGCATTGCGCGCGACCCCGTTGGACCATGTGCCCGAAACACGGCTCCTTTTCGTACATAGGAAGCAAGCACCACATCAATGGGGTTAACCTGTCCTACCTTTTGTCAAACGAATTTGTTACCTTTAGTTAGCAAATTGTCTTTTTCTGGGTAAAGGAAACAGAAAAACAAAATTTTCACGAGGAACATCAGAACAGACAAGAGCTACAAACCACCAACGCACCAGCAACTGCTCACAGGAAATGTCCCTGAAATGCGGAACGCGCTACACAAATAGTGAGCGTTGGTCGTGTCACGTGCGGACTAGATCAGTGCTACGTACGTCACGGGTTAAAAGGCTTTCGTGTACCAAAATTACATCCGTAACTCAAACAATGTCCACACCATTATATCCACATATTTTGAAGTTTCTGATTCGTACAACTGCCACCAAAATGCTTCAAATGGCATTGAAAGTATTATACAGGGTAAGGAGTCATCATTGCCAATGCATTTCTTTTTTCACAGGGACCAGTTGTATGAACGTTGCATAAACCAACGTTACCTGAAACTGCAATCCTGACTTTCAAGCTACTGAAGCTAACCTGATTGCAAACGCAGGCCCACTTGTAGTCCCCTTCAGGCAGTCTAATTCCTGGCACTGCATGCAGCGGCCATGTGACCGCAAAAGGAAAGGTCATGTGACCATACATAGGGAAGCCCAAGTGAAAAAATAGGACTATCTGCAGCACTTCACTTTGTAAACAAGACTAAGCGATACGAAAGTTTTGCCACACGAAGGTATCAAAATAAAGTGATTTATTTTCACAAATAATTGCTTTGGGATACATCCATTCCCAGAGGTTCGAGTTGTCAAGATTTTAATGTATAAGTAATTTGACAAGTGAAATTTGACTGGCCGAACCAGAACCACACTTTGCCCAAAAGAGATTGATTCCAAATCCATTTCTCAAGACAAATTCCTTTGGTCTCTTCGTTCACAGTTTTGGTGCAGTCATTTTCCTGGTTCCGGATCACGAAAACTATTCGGTAAGATTGCAGCTACAAAAAAAACCCCAAATTCAGGTGAAATATGGTCAGAAGCCAACTTTGCGTTTTGGAAATACCTCCATTTTTGAAAATCTAAGCTTTTATAATTGAACTCACAGGATCGACGAAAGTGTCGGCACCTTCTATTGTTCTGGATTGATTTCCGATCAAGACAAAAACTTCTACATTAATAAAAAGTAACAACGCGAAAAATCCATTTTCAGCCAGAACCACTGTAAAAAGTTGCTTTTCTAATAAAGAGTCTCTTAATTCTCGAAATTACATTAAGAATAAGAATTCGAATGAATTAAAAAGTAGAAATTGCGTGAAGTTTGACTCAACTTTTCAACTGGACAGACAGCTTACATGTATCAACGGTACTCTCCCCCGCGCTGCACAGCTGACGAATGCATCACGTCACATGCTTTTATGATGTGCCTGTGTACTTGAGTTCGCAACTAATTGCGTGGTAACGCTGCGATCCGAAAGTAGGCGAAAAAGCTTTCAGTTTTCAGTCAATTGACAAAGGACGGGAACTCTAAAAGTCATTTTGATTAAGCAGACATTAGATGCAAAAGTTTATATGACTATTCAATATAAAAAAAATATTTGAAATCACACGTACAGAGTGACTATCGCCCATGAATTTTTGTGGTTTTTTTTGCTCTTGTGAACTAAGAAAAATCTGGAACGAAGAAAATGACTGCAGTACAACGGGCGGTGTGGATAACATACAAAAGTAACTGTTGATCTCCGAACTGAAGGTTAATGTATGACTGTGGGACCGGGTTTTCAGCAGCATAGTGATTTTTTCGGCAAGTCTGCCCTTCAATATTAAATTTCACTGGCATTTTATAAATGGATTTTTGGTCCTTATGTATTTACTTTTTTACGGGTACCTGGCCCGAAAAAAACTGGAACCGAGTTTTGATATCCACGTGCGGGTACCCATGTACTCGGCACAGGCCTACTATTCATTATATTAATTGCCCATTATTCTTTTTAGTCAGCAAGGGAAACATTGTGTTTGTATATATCTGCGATCCCAATCAAGGTCATCTTATTCCAATGATATTGAACAGATGATGAATTTCTGTCCTACGTACAAACTGAACTGAAAGTCTAATATAAAGTTTCTGGAGTCTGTTGTCAATTAAATTTGTATGGGTATTATCAAAAGTGTTTCCGGTTGGGTGAAAATTTGGGAGAGAGCATATGCAAACATGTTCTGGTAGATATTGGCGGAAAGATTCCTGGCGCTGAAAGGAATCAGCATGTAGTGTAATGGCTGTAGCAATGGGGTAGTGGACCCACAGGACCGAATTTGAATCTGGCCTGCTGCGTGCCAGCAAAACCACTGTATCCTCTGAACTGCCTGTCCGATTGGATTAAAACCATCAAATGGCGTATTGATCAAATCAACAGCTATCAAAATACTAGGAATTAAATTGTACTTTAGACCTTGAAACACTGATCGAAAATTAGGGCTGTTACGATTCATCGATGCTGTATCGATAATCGCGATTCTTAAATGCCAGGATACGTCATCGCGATACAAAAATGTGAATCGCAATATTTGGGGGAAGGGGGAATTATGATAAAATATGCAGTAAGTTGAAAAAAGTTGGACCTAATAGAAATTTAGAATATACAGCTTTATATTTTAAATATCACCTATATTAATTATTTCTTGCAAAAAATAATTTGGATGAGTTTAACAGACAACCTGCTGCACATGTACAGCATCAAGTCATCAAGTGATATAATGTAGATATTTCTGTAATTTTGAGGCAAAAAGGAGTGGAAAAGCCCTCTGCATGTTGCAAACAGGCAAGAAGCTCTCGTTTTAGATATTTTTACACTAATCAAGGCAGGTTTCTATCACTCTTAGTGGCAATACTTGTACACCAGCCAAGGTTTGCATGTAATTGAATAGCCCATTCAATCAACACAATAAAGGGCCAAACAATTTTCCGACCTACTGTCCTATTTTTGAGAAGCAGAATTATTTTCTGGGGCCCTATCAAGTAGATTTACACCTGCTGTGTAATGCATACCTGAGGGATTATGGGAGGATCAACTTTCTGCCTCTTCAGGCCTTCCCAGTCAAATCCTTGAAACCACCTGCCATGAGATAATGAATTGAGGTGTCAATCAGACATATATAAAGCACTTGTTATTGTCCAGGCTCTCAACGGGCATGTGTTTGAGTTTAACAGTTGATGCTGTTATGGGGTTGCGCATATACACTAGGGGCGCATGTGCTGTACACACTGTACTCATACTGTATACAGAAATAATGTGAACTGTTAGATCTTGGATCTCGCATGTGCGATGCATCCTCCTACATACATGTACCCCATGTAAAATTTTAACTGTTCCCTTACAACACTGTCCCATGCAGATCCCATTGGCTGCCCATGGGCTGCCCATGGGCCCCATGGGACCCCATGTGTACGCTATGGGACTGTAAAAAAATAATGTTGGTTGAAGTGATCACCATGGGACATTTTGTGGATACCATGGGAACACCATGAGGCTTTTATGATCAGCATGGGAACACCATGGGGTTTTTATAATCAGCATGGGAACACCATAGGGTTTTTATGATCAGCATGGGAACA